GTTATCACCCTCGAGACGTTCAACTTCTACGTACTTATCAAAAGAAGCATATACATCACGACAACCTTTGACATCAAGCTGAAGGTCTGCCAGACGCATAGTTGATAATATTAGCATTATCCAAAAGGACCATAAGCATGGAGAATTCGAAACTGAAAAAGTACCATAAAATGATTCCTTTCTTGTTGATTTGTAGTCCACGTTGATGCATTCAATGTAGTTCATATGGTGTCCTTCGAACAACTTCTGTATAGTTCCCTCTACAACAGTTCCCTGGTAACAGGTCAAAATTGTAAAACTTTTCAATAAGATTCAAGAGCTTCAACATTGATAAGATTTTCAAATTTGATCAATATGAATTTGGTTAAAAGATACCTTCATTTTGTCTTCAAGTTTTTCACACAAAACCCTATTGAGTTCTTGCACGTCATGCTGCATAAATGAATCATACGTGTCCCATCCAAAAGACTTCGTCAGCTCTTTTGTTGCCACACTATTGTCACTGTACTGAAGCTTGTAAAATAGACTCTGCAGGGCCAAAGGTATGCTTTGGGATGGCAAATCATTCTCAGTTGTGGGCATATGGTAAACAGCCTGAAATATACAACCCAAGACATTGTTTTCTTCAGAGATCTTTAACCAGTTAAGTTAGCATGCTGTAGAACCAAAAATTTCATGCAGCTGCTAACCTTTCTGAAATAAGGAATATGATACAAAGTCTGGAGGAGAGAGTTCATGTAGCAAGTTGCTCCTTGGTTCTTAAGCCCCACATAACCTGTCTCCTTTTTCGAATCATATGTCCAGTAATCTACAACCCTACGAACGAGAACCTCAGCTTCAATTATAAGTATATCATTCACAAGATACCCTCTACTGGGATCGTAAAGTTCACTAAGAGGCATGAAGGATGTGAAACCCCAATCACTTTCTCGCGCATTGAACTGATGCTGCGTGTCTGTATCATGCAAATAGGATTCAGTAAATATCTATAGGCACACTATCAATCAATTTGAAGGTTTTTGTCAGCAACAATACACAAAAGGAAACATCAACCTACAGAAGCGCTAAAATTGCTGTTCCCAGACCAACTCTGATTGATTCAAGCTTAAACCAAAAAGGACAATTGAAATTCTAAATCACATGAGGCTAAATCCCGCTTAAGTAGCACAAGCAAACTAAAAGGTCAAATAAAGATAGACATGCCGAACTTCCCAATTGTGCAATGCACTCTTCCCAATGAATTCCTCCATTGGACCAAATTTTTCATTGGGCTCCAAAAGTTACAATCTATCAATGATGCCCTCCTAGCAGATCTACTTTTTTTAATCAACCTAAGGAAACATTCTTTGCTACTTTCTTTAATTCCACATTAGATAAATGCACACCTGATCTCATAGACAGAGAATCACACCAACATCATAGCTTAAGAACTGAAATTATTATTATACTACAAAAGAATCAAAGTTTAATACAAAGTGGAAGATTAGTAGAAAACATATCCAAGGAGGTACCTTTTCGTACTGAATACTTGTTATGAATTTGATTGACGACCCCCAAGCAAAACTGTGCATATCTACTCCACCCATATGGCAAACTTGCTGAATCCGCAACATCCAAATACATAGACAAATGATCTACATTGTTTCCCTTAGGAAAAATAAGCACACGCCTGCCAAAGCAAAGCAAGCAGAACATATCAAAGCAACGCCAAAACAAAGAGGAACATATAGAGCAAAGTGACTGTGTCAAGTGAGAGAGAGAGAGAGAGAGAGAGAGAGAGAGAGAGAGAGAGAATGACAATACCATTTATAGCCACCAACGACAAATATATCTGAATAAAGCTTCTTTGTATTCATCCTAGAAAAATTGTCAATTCTCCACGTGAATCTTGATGATGGAGGATCCTCCACTGGCTGGTTCTCCACATTATTAGCAGTTTCAGGTTGTGCAACAACTAATAATTTGCAAAGGAAACCAAAATAAATAAATATGTTACAACTGTCTCATGCTGCAAGTAGTTGAAAACTTAAAATAAAATAAAAGTACTGCAATAACAATACACATCATCAATTTTCCTACAAGAACTTTCTTTCAATTTTGCATGCAAAAGCATGGAAAATAGTCTTAGTGCAACACAACCACTTGACCCCAGTAATGGAAAATGAGAATTACTTATAACAATTTTTTTATAGCTCCCCATTAGTTGGGGTCCAATACACATTACAACCAATTTCAGTTCACTAATTAATTACCCAAAGTAAGTTTTAAAAAGAATGATAAAAAGCTACAGGGAATGGACATACTGGACGGATCAGAATACCTTCCATGGGTTGGTGATTGTTTTCTGGCAAATCCGAGTGTGGGACGAGCATCTCCTCGTCCTCTGGTTGCTGTAACAAACACACAAGAGTGACAATGAATTCTGAGCCTTTTTTTTTGGGGCATACCAAAAGCAAACCCTTATTATTGTTTTCAATAAAACCCTAAATTCCAAACAACAATGGAGAGAATGACAGCCATATTAAAGCAATTTGGATACCAAAGCCCTAGGCAACACCAAATTCCAATTTCAGTTCGAAAAAACCCAATTTAAGCATTGAAATCATACAAATTAAGATAATGAACTAACCACAAATTCGAAATAAAAACCAAAGCTTTATCATCCACAGACATATGCATACACCAAACATATAGATGCATGTTGTATACTTAGAGCGAGAGAGAGAGAGAGAGAAACATACATCAATAGGGGCGGGGGTCATGACAGTCATGGCTGAACGAGACTGAGGAATGAGATATGAGAATACCTCACAGCGAGGTACTAGAGAGAGAGAGAGTAAAGGAGGTGCACTAAGAGAAGTGCAAAATGGCGATCACCAGAAGCTGGTCGAGGAGAGAGAGAGAGAGAGAGAGAGAAGGGTATGGTTTTTTTACTCTTCTTTTATATGCAGGATGGGCAGTAGAGTACTTTCGCAATGGGGTACATGGTAGACCGTAGACCTGTGCTTATGACAAAGTGACCCAGGGGGACATGGCTTTACTTGCACCCGTTGTACTGCTATGGACCACACACTGTAATTTACGAAATACATAGATCTGGGCCAATCCAGCCCAAACCCTCTAGGCCAAATTTCAACCTCGACTAAATCCGTAAACGGAAACTTCTGCAGCTTCACTGCTACAAATGTTTTCTTCCCTATTCTCCAAGTGGTTCTTGGAAAATAAGTTTTTTTACCAAGCATTGTTGAAAGTGTATTTTGTAAGCACGTTAAAATTTTATTAATAATCCAAGTGGTTCTTGGAAAATAAGTTTGTCTACCAAGTATTGTTGAAAGCGTTTTTTGTTTTTTGTAAGCACGTTAAAATTTTATTAATAATCCAAGTGGTTCTTGGAAAATAAATTTTTCTACCAAGCATTGTTGAAAGCGTTTTTTGTTGTCATAAAGTATTTTTAGTCCTTATACTACAAGAGTTAAAAACGCTTTCTGACAACCAAATGTGTTTCTAACAACATTTGTCATAAAATTTAAAAGTGTGTTCATGGATCATAAAAGTTTTTGTGGAGAAGAATCTGCAAGAGCACTTCTAAATGCTATTTTAGGAACCACTTGGATTTTTAATAACAATTTTAATGTTCTTCTAATTAATTGAACAAAAGTGTTTCATACAAAAGCAACCTCAAACGTGCCCAAAAGTAGTCCCAAAAAGGCCCATACTCAAACAATATTTAAGTTTTTAACGTTCTTCTAGTTAGAACATCTCCAATGCTAGAGATGCAAATGGGACATGTGAAGCCACATTTACATCCCATTTGCATCTGTGGCAGATGTAAATGTGGGTTTTGCCCCAATCGGGAATATGTAAATCCAAAATCTCAATTTTGATGTTCTTATACTAATTCACTTCGTGTTAATTTTTGTATGGTGTCAACTTTAGTTTTATTATTTTTCCAAAAATCTTTACAATTTACCTTATTCTCATTACAAAATGTTGCATTTCTATGTCTATTCTCATAATTAAAACAAATTAGAATTCTCAATTCTCTACGACGTCTGGGTGATAAAATATTTTCACAAACAAACAAATCATAATGATTTTTATCTCTATTTCCAGTCATCTTTTGATGTTTTGTAATGGCTTCATCAAAATTCTTATCAGCATGTTTTTTTCTCAGCATCTTTGATTAATTTGGTGTTTACTTTTATGAAAAATAGAATTAAAATTTTTAAATTTCTAATAAATTTAATTAAGCAAGCCTTTTGACTGAGAATTGAAATTAGAATATTTTTGGATATTTAGGCATTTTTTGGATTATTCACCAATATGGCTCATTATTTAAAAAATAAATCATTGATTTTTGCATCTCATTTGACCTCATCCAATGGATATATAGGTGTTATAATCGGCTAAAACTTCATTTTGATCAAGGTCTTAAATATCGGAGGTATCGGAAATATCGGAAGTCAAAAAACACGGAAATATCGCAAGAAATATCGGGATATTATCGGTATCAGAAAAAATTGAATAAAAACCACGGAAATTGTAAGAAAAACTTGGAAATTTTTATTGAAACTTTGCAGGATGTTTATTTAGTCAATTATCTATTAGTTTATCACAAAAAATTGGAAGGAAATGCATTGCATGATGGATTTAACTGATTTAAGTTGATTATATAGCGAGCTGGCAAACACCGTAAGTGAAGAAAATATGTAGTAATTAATGAAAGAAGATTAAACACACCATAATCATTTATATATAATGAATTACTACAATATTTTACACTTTATACATTGCATGGTAAGATACATGAGTGACTTAGTACCACATAGAGTTCCTATGAGGTTCCCAGTAACGCAGATGCTGCCGAATTTGACCTTAAGTTGCCAAAACATGTATAACTTTCTCTAGAAGACTCAGAATCATGAACCGTAAAATTCTACAGAAAATAGACTTCCGTATCTTTCCAATGATGTATGGCTCATCATCTGGTTCTTCTTGAGCAAGTGCAGTCCAATCCGTGAAGTTGACTGATCTGCAGACACCGTTTTGAGCTAACTTGTCTCCAAAATGCAATTAGTGATTCTCAAGCTTATCACACTGAAATAAACACAAAACTTATTAAAAGCACAAATTTAACTCAAAAACATAACCAAATCATAAATTAGAAGGGTACAAAATGATATGTAAATATGCACCGATCAAAAGTCACCTTCTTGACTTGACAAAGTCCCCCTGCCTCTTTCTCTACGAGTATAGTCCTTCCCTATGGCACCAATTCCTGGTCCTGCCCGCCTACTGCCATGGTCCTCATCTTGTGTTGCATGCGTGAAGTTTGCCTCACTAGTGAAGGGGCTCATAAATCCGGGAGGTGGTCCAACATATCTACCACTACCTCCAGCTCCACTATATCCTTCATCATTCCCACCTCCGGTGGTAGGTGAGTCTCTTGATCTTGTATTAGAGCTGTCATTAGTATCAGCAGGATCTTGTGGTTGTGTAGGATTGGAAGAAGGTGGAATTCTAGTGTTTCTTGGTCTTGGGCGCAAAAGTTCTTCGAAAGAGTCAGCGCTGCTAGATCCCACCTCCTCCTCTAATACTCGTTCTACATTTATCCCTTCATTACGTGCTTCTTCAGCAACTCTTAGAGCTGGGTTGCCTTCATCATCATCTAAATGAAGAGGTCTAATCCATTGAAAAAGTTGGTTACCCTCTGTATCATCATCTTCAGCAACAATATCAAACACATCTAGTGGGTCACCACGATCGACATGATCTATTTCTGCTTCCTTATCTCGAATTTGAAGCTTCATGTTGTAGTAGAAATAAACTAATTTTTCCAACCTACTATGAGCCAACCTATTTCTTTGCTTTGTGTGTACGAGTGCAAATGTACTCCAATTTCTTTCACAAGCAGATGAGGAAGTTGTTTGTGATAATACTTTGATTGCTAACTTTCTCACAGTTGGTGCATCAGTCCCATACATGATCCACCATTCAGCTATAATGAAAAACAATGTTAATAAGTCCAATAACTCCAACAAATTATATTATAAACTGATAGTGAAATATGTTTACACTCACTAGGAGACATTTTTGTTCGAGCAGCAACTGATGTTGGTTCTCCAAAAGTTCTTCTTGCATCTTTAAACCATGATAGCTGAATTCAATAAATTGTGTTAGTTTAATCCAACAATGTAATTATTATAATTTAAGTAATTGTGTACCTCATTTCCGAATTGGCCAACTGCTGGTGATGCAGGGTCTAATTTAGAGTATACATTGTGTACAGCACGTATAAGAGTACCATCATCTCCAACACCGGGTTTGTATTGGTATCGAGGATTCAAATAATATGCTATTCAAAGAAACACATAATCTAATGAGAGAAATAATACTTATGCAACTAAAGAAATGAATTGCAAATTATGACATAATTTATACCTGCTGCATGCAAATCGTGGTATAATGTTTTATACCATCGGTCATCAATTATCTTTATGCCCACCTTGCACCATGTTTTCTTTCCAAGTCCTCCTTCACTACACGCATCAACTCATATATTGCCCCCATAGTAGGATACACTTCTGTGTCATTGATTTCATGACCCTCATTTCCAAAACTACTTTCTCAAACCAAGAGTTCCAACCATCATCGATAACATGAGTAATTTCTTCAATAATTCCCCATTTCATCATTCAGCTTTCAGACGTTTGTAAACCATATTATATTCATCGATCTCCAATAATCATATTCCAGAATTAAATTCATATTCAAGATTTCATAAACATCCAATAGAAACAATGTTACATACTCAAACAATCTCAAGTACATTAATCAAATAATATCAAGAATATCATCATTTAATAATATAAAATAATAATATAATATTCATGAAATGTAATTAAATCAACCTCTGTAAAGGTTCCCATGAACTCCCTACTTGGTCTTTAGGTCAAGCATAAGATACATCTCATCATCTCATCAACACCACAATCAAACACAAGTGTCATGTATAACTCTTGTTCAAGCTACTCTTTTGATTCAAATACTCCACAATCATAATCAACTTTTTGGGTTACTAGCCTCTTTGCACACGCTTCCGCACCTGCGAGAGGCTTTTTTTTAAAAAAAAAATTAAATTGATTTTAGAATTAAAAAAGATAATGGGTAGTTGTGTTCCATAAAAATAAGATTCAATATATGATTTTTCTTTTTTTTAAAATTTTTTTTAATATAAAAAAGTATGAATTTACCATATTATCATCATTTAATTAATAATTTTAATTCTTAATGTTTGGATTAACCAAAGGTATTTTCTGGCATTTTGAATGTTTCACCATTCTCTGCCTTTTGCTTTATATATATAGATTACAAATGACATAACAAAATCCTTCTTTCAGGGCTTTGGTCAAGTGTTGATTTTTATTTATATATTTATGAGTATTTCAAAATACCATTAAAGTTAATTCTCTTACATTGAAACTAAATTTTTTTTTAAATAAGCGATAGTATATTATTGAAACTAAAATTTTAAATGTTCTATGGTATAAGTTTTTATTGGTCATTCAAATGGGACAAATTAATAATTGATATATTGTTGCAAAGTTTAGATGAAGTTTGAATTCAAAAACTTTAATGTTGCATAAGTTTTTTGTCTAAGCCTTTATATATTTATCTTTACTAGCTTCAAATATTATCAATTTCATTTCCATACCAGTGGACATTTAGAGCTTTTAATTTCCAATACATGTATCACTATAATTCCTTAACGGTTGAAAATTTTAATTACCAAACGTCTCTTTGGTGACAAGCTCTCCCATATAAACCTTTTATTATTGGAGGCTTGGTCAGGGCAACATTTGTGGCCCTGCCAAGATTATTGAGCTGGGCAAATTTTCAATAGCAAATCGGAGAAGAACTACACAAGGCATAAGTAGGTATCCTTAATTATGTATGTTTGGGCTAAATACCATTGAAGGTTTTTAATTGTTCTTGCCCCCCTAATATGTGGTGACTTGGATTATTGATTGCCGATACTTTGAGTTTCCTACTTACAAATATCCAACTTTTTGCATCACTTTATTGAGTTTTTTTTTTAGTAAGGACATTGTTCCTTCACCACATGCTTGTGTGGATGCATAAGTAAAATGTCGTGTCATGTTTATAATTTATAAAACATGAGACAATTATGCTAAACATAGCCAACAAAATTAACTTGCACGTGAGGTTTGATTAAAGACATGGGTATACTAGTGATTTGCCCCCTAAACTTGTACCTAATTTTCAATTAGCTCCCTATTCTTTTTTTTTTAGAAAATTAAGGATATGAACTTCTTTTTTTCTCCAATTTCCCCCCTGCCATCTAAATTCCCAACATTTCATCCAATTTTCAGTTAAATCATTTTTAAAAATTATTTTTTAGAAAAAAATTGAAGAAAAAGAAGAAAATTGACCCCCCAAAAAAAAAAACATTGAAGCAGCAACCCAGGCCGTTGTCTTCAACCTCTCAAGTGTGGTGGTCTGTCAGCTCACAATCATTTATATGTTCAATGGCTCTGCCTCGCTGCCCCTTTCTTTCATTGCTACCTAATCTTCAGTCTCTATTGACAGAAGCAAGTTATTTCCAACCATAAGCACCAAGAAATAGGGTGTATCGCCCCCCTCCCCAGTTCTATCTCCTCCAGCCAGCATCTACAAACCCAGAAACCCAGAAAAATAGGAAAATCGACAACAACAAAAAAATATAGAAAAATAGGAAAATTAACAACAACAAAAAGAAAAAAGAAAAAAAGAAGACACTGAACCAAACCTATCGCCACTCCCCTCCCCCAGCAACCCTATCTCCAACCCCCCTCCCCCATCTACATCTCCTTCAGCAACCCCATCAACCCTAAACCCTAAAACCTCAGCTGAAACCCATCCCCACGCGAGATCCATTCCAAGCCCCAGCCGAAACCCATCCGCAACCCTTGCCCCCAAGTCCCACGATTTTGGCTCGACGACGGCGGCTGCAAGATCTAGGCTTGACGATGGCGACAACGACTTCACAACTTCACGAGTTAATGGCCATAGATGGAAACAGCCACAGAGAAGAAGACAGAGACAGAGGGAAGAGAGAAGAAGAAAAAGAAGAAGAAGAAGAAGGAAAAGAGCGAGAGAGAGAGAGAGAGAGAGAGAGAGAGAGAGAGAGAGAGAGAGAGTTTTCAATTTTTATTTCTATTTTCTATTTAATTGAATACATTTCATATTATGAATAACTAGCAAAATAATTAATATACAACAAAATTAATTAAATAAATCAATTAGGCAACATCAGCGAGTTGTTGGGGAAAAGTAAAAGCAACGACTTTATAGTCGTTCCATAGGATAGACACCAACAACTATTATTCGCGTTGCCATTGTGTTCATTCAACGACTTCTGACATGGGTATAAAGCAACGCCTGTGACAAAAATAATTTTTCGTTACTTATACTTTCAAGTAACGACTTTTGACATTGGGAAACGACATCCAGTTGTTGCCGAATCCATGTTTTTTTTTTTTTTTTGTAGTGATATCTTTAGAAATATGAAAATGAAAGCATAAAACATTAAAGATGAGCATCTCAGTTGTTGTACCATTCATGCCTATTCTCATTGAAGCCGCACAAATGCTTGATGTTGAACCACAATTTAACATTGTAGGTAAGGGGCTAGGTCACACAATGAAGTTTATGTGCCATATCAGTTTAAAAGAAGGCATGTATTCAAATTTTTCGAGTAGTTGGGAAAGACATACTTTGGTTTGACTTATTGGATTGAGCACGGCTGAATTAAAGTGCTAGATTTCTTGTACTGCCTTAAGAAAAGGGTGCATGCAGTGTAGCCGGGTTGGAGGCGGTAACTTGATCATATTTTGGATTTGAGAATTTAGTCTCATATGTGAACCAGGGTTCATCATATGGCTTGCAACCCGTGTGCCCAAGGAGGCCGCCCCGAGCCCATGATATTATAGCTTGGCCTGACCCGATTTTTTAAATGGGCAACCCTTGGCCCAAGTGCAACCCATTTGCAATCGACATGGCCAAACCCAACTTGGCCAGCTTAGGCCTACCAATATAATAAATATGATTTAAATATATCATTTACAAATATTTAGTCTATAATTAATATGTATTATGTCAGTTAATCTCTTATAAATATTTGTTTTATATGTATGGTGTTATTTAGATGTTTTTTTTTTCATTGACGCAAATGACATTTTAGAATTAGTTTGTAATGTTGAAATTTATCTATTGAAAGTCGTCTTTGGTCCAAAAAAGGAAAAAAAAAATGCGTTAGTGGGAGAGCATTCTTGTGGGATACTCTTTTATAGGCAATGATGGAACTAGGTGCTGCCATGAGCTCTATCACTAGGCGTGGGCACTGTATGGTTCTCACCCCAAACCGAAATTGGGACTATTCATTCGGTCTGATTCAATTTGCCCACAAGTTAGTTCGGTTTCTGATTTTGTTGTTGTTGGATTGGAATTATTATTTTGAATTTTATTTTATTTTATTATTTTGACAAAACCCAACTAAAATTTTATTTTTTGGGCTTAAAAATTAATAAATGGCCCAATTTCATGCAAAGAGAGGTGATTGGCCTAGAAAAGAGAGGTGATTTGGAGTTGGGCTTGGGGAAGTATTAGTTATGGGCTTAGAAATTTAGCATTTGGGCTTAAATATGTTTTTTTTTATAAAAAATTTAAAAATACAAATTTGGTTCGGGTCGGCATGATCATGTTTTTGGTAAACTCAGCCCGATTTTTGGTCAACCTAGTTTTTTCTCCTTTTTTTGGCCCAATTCGGCTTGATTTTCTGGTTTGAATGCCTACCCCAATTTATCACACCCCATCTTTTGAGAAAAGAAAAAAAAAGTTAATAATAAACATGTTATTAAAAAATAAGACTAAGGGCTCGTTTGGGAGTGCTTCTTTCCGAAGTGCTTATGCTAGTAGCGCTTATGCCAGTAGCGCTTATGACTTAAGCGCTTCTACAAAGAAGCAGGTTGTCGTTTGGATGTCACATTTAAAAGTGCCTTTACACTACATAAAAGCGTTTTTGATATTTTGTTGAGTGTTTGGTTGACACAATAAAAGCACTTTTAAAATTACTTTAAAAAAATTTAAAGAATCCCAAAAATATTATAATAAACATAGGAAATAAAAATTTACAGGATCCCAAAATAAAAACATAACTTAAAAAAGTATGAACTTCAGCAAGTATAATTTTTAATCATTCTTTGAAACTAAAAAAGGAATTAACCAGACATAAGAAGATTTGCAATTCTCTCACGTTCGTCAGCCATCAATTGCCCCTATGCAATCTTTGAAATATGGCCAATATCGATCATCATCTTTGATTTTATCTAGAACTCTCCTAAATTGTGGGTCTTGTGGACTTATGATATCACTAGCCATGCGACAAACAACATCTAAAATTATCCCAAACCACCTTGACACCGTCTCACCAGAATGTTGGAACCTTTCTTGGACCATTCTATTAGTGAACCCATGACCTAAAACGATGAGGAACATTGATAATGCCTCAACTAATGGTATATCTCCAACTTCTTTCAAACCATATGTACCTGTAAGTGTCTCTACCAATTTTATAAAGACATGTTTTTCCATCCTAAATTGTTCATGGCACCTTACTTTGTGACCATTTAAAACATCCATTACCCATTTATATCCGGTATGCGAAGAAGTCTTGCATGGTTCTTTGTCAACATATTTAAGCCATTCAGAAACAGCTACAACACATCCTACAGAAATCAACTGATAAAATTCATCGTCACTATCATCTGTACAAGAGTGTGTACTGTTACCATCACCATCACTAGAACTCATCTGTAAAAATAAAGCAAAAAAACTTATTGTATATATTGTAGTGAGCGAGGGAGTGACTGAGGCAACAAACAGACAAACTGACCATAAATTTAAGCAAAAGGGAAAACACCATAAGGGCATTTTCTAGTGCTAATTCAGAAACATTTTGTACATCTGTCTGTTTTTACTATAATGAAAATTTCTGTTCATTGTAGCACTAAGATTGGACTGCATGTTTAAGCAAGAATTCACATAATCAACAATCTGAAAATGCAGTTAAGCATAGGAAAAATAACTCAGTTTGAAAACACTGAATGGGAAATTGGTGAACTATCTTAATTCTTTCTAGTTTTGAACTCAATTTTGAACCACCTTAAAATGATAAACGATATTGAACCACCAAAGCAGTTTGGATACACAAGTATGAAAGGAAACATAATCTTTGTAGTTTCTTCAATCAGATCAACACAATAATACAGAGACAAATAGCAAAAGAAAAACTTCCTTTTGCATGCATCCATCCAAGAGGACAAAACGGTGACCAAATCAAAGACAAATAGCAAAAGAAAATTAAATATGAGATATGCACTTGGTAGAGAAGGAAAACGAAAAATAATTTTTGAAAAATCAAACTATCAATCACAAGCTAATGGTCAACGAAAAATTCAGGAACTTGTCAAGTTCAATTGCTGGGATTTATGAGAACACACAGAAAAGCCAATAAATTTGGAAACAACAAGAACCAACAGAATAGAAACATGAGATTTAAGCAAGACAAGTTAACAAGAATCGATGATTACCTCTCTTTCAGAATAAGCAGAAATATGACAGATGAAAAGTCCACTAGGATTTGGAATTCCCCTGAAATATGAAGTCCAAAAAATCTAAAGAGTTGGTGTGTGCTGTGACTTCGTGGATGTGAAGGCAGAAGAAGAAGAAGGGTGTTGCTGAAGGGTGCTGAGGCTGAAGCTTTGCTGCCGACCAGAGCAAATTGTGTGAGAGAGATAATAGAAGATGGGTGATAGGTTTTGGCGTTTGATAGGTTTTGGAGTTTGGGCTTTTCGCGGGTAATTTTGGTTTTAATAGGAGAGAAAAAGAGAAAAAAGAAAGAAAGAAAGAAAGGGTGTTTTGGCATTTAAAAAAATTAAATATGGGTATTTTCGGCATTTTAAAAGTTTCATTAAAGGGAGCCAAGTGCTTCCCGTGTTTTTGTCCTGCAGCGCTTTTATGAAGAAGCACCTCTCAAGTGCTTCTTCCAAAACCACTCCAAGTGCTTTTGGATCTCACCCAAAGCGCTTTGGCAATTTTTGCCAAACATCATTTTTAAAAGACAGAAGCGCTTTCACCCATTTAGAAGCGCTGTTCGCTGCTCCAAAAGCACTCCCAAACGAGCCCTAATATTGTCCAAAGTATAAATTTAGCCCACTTCTACACTTAACTTTAATCTCATGCCACGAGAAAAAATTGTACCCCACCCCGATATGAATACTTGGTTCCGTACTTATTTATAGGAAGTGGTTATTGATACTCAATAAATAATCATACCTCCTCCCCTTAGAATAAAATAAGGGAGATATTGTAGTTCTAGATTTATGAAATGGTTTTTTTTTCAGTGCTAATAAAAATTTCTTTAAATTATTAAAAAAAATAAATACATTGAATTAATTATTTATCTTGCCACAAAACTTACTGCACATGAAACCATTCCATTCCATGTCTGGACCGATGAAGATAAAGAAGACACAGTCTCCCCTATAAAGTTGGGATTACTTTAACGTTCTCCCTCTCTCACACAAAAAAGAGAACTTAGTCGGAGACTTGAAAGTTCAAAACATTGGATTCCAAATGGGATGAATAGGCACACCGAAAGGTTGGACAAAGCAGCAAAAAAATATTTAAATATCGCAAAGTTGAGAACCAAGATTTTTCACTCACCATGTGAAATCTTGTCGTTTATTTATATTATAACACATAAATTAATAATCTTAGCGGGTGAACAAACTCTCTTAAGTTCCAAGCAAGTGACCCACTACACATATGACCTATTTAACAACCCATTTGGTGTTTTCAATTTTTTCCCAAGCTTCTTCCACAATCCACAATAGAGTGAGGCCCCTATGTTTTTCACTCACAGCACAGAACATGAAACACTCCTTCCTTGTCCAAAAAGCACCCGAAGATTCATATTTGAATAAAAAGGTACATCCTAAAATCAAAAACACAAACTCCTCTCATTTTCTTCTTCTCTCTCTCAGTTTTATTCCTTCCCTCCCTCGCCAATTTCCCCTTTCCCTCCTCAGAGTCCTCTGTTCCTCTCCTCCCCTTCTCCAAAATTCAAAACCCTAATTCTCTCTCTCTCTCTCTCTCTCAAAGGGTGCATTGAGAGTTGAGAGTTCTCTTTTCGCTCCACAACCGAAAAAAGGAAAAGAAAAAAAAAAGGAAAAAAACCCCAAACAATGAACAAGAATCTCTCCTAGGGCTTAATCCATTGAAAAGTCAAAACCCCTTTTGCCCAATCCAAAACCAAACCAGATGATCTGAAAAAGTTCACATTTTTCTTTTTCACCTAAACCTGTTGACTCTCTTCATTGGTTATACAAACACTACCAATGTCGGATGATATGCTCATACATTTCTCCTCCAACTCCTCAAACCAGTCGGACCAGTCTCTGCCCACCAAGATTGCCAAGCTCGAAGCTCGTATGGTCGGCAAGGCTTCCTCTGCCTCTTCCGCCCCTCCTGCTCAGCAGCAGCTTCAACAGCAACACCAGCAGCAGCCGCAGCAGTCTGCTTGGTCATCCCTCTCGGCTGCTCCAAAATTCGCTACGGCAGACTTGGCCGAGCCATCTACATCGAGTGATTCCGATGACGATGTAAGCCCTTTCTCTCATTTTATGGCACAATGTGTATAATTCAGTGCATTGGTTGAATGCTTTCCACTTTAATTTCTTAATTATGTTTGATGTTGATGGTAATTGCCAAGTAATCTTTGTTTTCCATATGATTTTAGCTTATTGATTTGATCAAATGGGGATAAGCTTTCGTAAATCTCTTTTGTCTACTAAATACTAATTTAATCCACTAAATTGTGGGTGTTGTGCCCGATATAAGTGGTACTTTTTTTAAAAACATATTGAATAAAGTTTGATGCCTAACCTGTTGATGTCTCTAATCTGAAAGAAAGTCGCTGTTCATGAAATTTTATTTTCTTCGTACCATTTATTTAACCATTTACATTTATGAAAGTTCCATTCCCTATTATGGTTGCTTTACCAGGTTGGGGAATGTGTGCCTGTATGACCATTTTTGATACTTTTGATCTCACAATTTTTTCATTTAAAAGAAACAAAACTTTATTTAATAAAGTCGAGAAATGTAACTAACAAAACAAGTATTATCTACCAATAAACAAGAAGTCCACCTACAAAATGAGAAATAACAAAATAAGCTATCCCGTCCTTTTGAAATCACTCAGTTACATCTCATTCTATTTTGATCTTGGAATTTAGATAACTTTTATTGGCTCTAATTACTTAAATCTCATAAAGTTTACCATTAGGTGTTGGATCTTTCTCATATAACTTACTTCCTGATTCATATTCTTATGACAGAATGGAGGGGAGTTTCTGATACAAGCCAACACTCAGAAGCGCCAGAAACTTCAAGAAGATGGTAATTCAACTGTCCTTGAACATGCTGAGGTAGGCCCTTGTTCAAGTTAAGTTTGGTTTGAAGCTTTCAGGATTATACTTTAGCCCACTGATTTTAGTTGCTCATATATATTTTAGTTCTTCGCTTAAATTGATATCAATCTTTTTAAGCACGTCTGAGGCAATGCATTAGAATACTCAATCAAATTTGATATTTAGACGAAAAAGTTGAGATCATGGTGTTGAATTGTTTACTTATTACTTGCATTGAAAATTCTCCTTCTTTCTATCTTTCTTCTGCATATAATCCGGATTGTGTAAATTAACATAAAAAAGCATATGCAGGCAGTGGCTGATGGGAGGCAAATGGTTGTGGAAAGCATTGATACCAAGGCAACTTCTGATGTAAATAGAAAAAAGCATGGTCGTGGTAGGGGGCATTCTGTATCAGGTCGGGGTCGTGGTTCAAGAGTTAGTGATCAAACAAGATTGCTAACTTCGACAGTTTCACCTCCAAATGGTCAGCTTGAGAATCCATACAATAAGGTATGCTCGTAGGCTTGAGCTGTTTCAGTTTCAATCCTAATCCTTTTATGGTAGCAGTTATCATCTACGCATCATCGTATTCTACATATCTACCATCATTAAGGAGGTATCTCTACTTGTCATATATTATTTGTTATGGTAAGAAATTATCTTGACAAGACTGGTTTTGACCTTTAATGGTCTGAGCCAATATCTGTTGTTTGCTGGATAAAATATTCTCATAATAAATGTTCTGTTTAAGATCATCTTTCTAAGATAATTGAATGTGGATAAGTTATTAAACACGGATGGAGTTAAATTAGGGCCTGCATTTTCTACTTCCAATCGTTTTTTTTCCTAATCGAAATTTTGATTAAGAATTGCGAATGCATTATATATCACCAAGTGAATGAGGCGAAATTGACTGCCACTCATAATTGCTTGGTTAATGACACACATGGCCTTGTTTATGCTTTTTGTTGAAAATTTTGTTAATATTGTTCAAAATATTCTGTAATCAAGATAAAATGAAGGCTCTATATGCTATGCAAACCTGGGATTTAGGGAATGCTTGTGAGTTTGTCCATCATGTTACACAATGCATCTTATTTTTACTGAACGAAGTGATTAACTACATACCAGTAAAGAAGTTACTGAAAGAATCTGCAAAACGTATGGATAGGCAATATTGAGATGATATTTGTGGTGGCAAATCATGCTTCCACTGCATGAAATAATGCTCAGGTGAAAGGATAAAAACTACACATAACATCTTCCGAGAGCATTTGCTATATTTCCCATTCAGGACTGCCTGCACCCTATCCCATGTATAGTTGATCTGGTCCCTCTTTCAGGTAGACCACAGTTAGATATTTAGGGGTGTCATTCTATGGCAGAGAATGAGATATTTAGCATCTTTAGGGGTGTCCGCATCCAATCGGTTTAATTCAGCTCAGTTGACTGGGAGAAAGAGCTGATTGCAAGTTTTTTGTCTAATTTTCTGGATTTTACATCATTTATTGATGGAAAACTTGTCTATCTTGTCTTCTTTCTTTTTAGTAATATTTTTTTGTTTCCTATTAAAAATAGATATGATTTTCTCTGACAATAGAGATATCTACTTTTAATATTCATTCTTCTTTGGAATGATACAGACAGAAATGGATAATGAGACAATGCAATGAATCATGATACGTATGAGATGATTACAATTTTTATTTGGCCTATACAAAATAATATTTTTAATTGCAAGTTCATATATACTTTATGTATAGACCAAATTTTTAATATTTAAAATACATTTTTTGTTGTTGCTGTCTGTAGAGCAGAAATATTTATGAATGAACTTGTATTTTACCTAATCATACTTGCAGGATAGTAGGCCTAATGAGCAGCTTCGGAATGACAACAACCGGTCTTCATTAGATGTATGATTTGGTTTCCTTCGTTCATTTTGCAATTATTTTTCACTCTTTATTTGGCACATAATGCTTTTGATATTTCATAGTTTTAATATCGTTTCTTTGTCAAACTAGGAGGAGGTTGCATCTTTACGTGCTACAGTTTCTGCGCTAGAGGAGGACTTGCGTAAATCACGTCAAGAGGCCTCTGATTACCAGAATCTTTGCCGCCAAGTAGAGAAGGTAATAAAGTAACTGCCAATAGTTGTCAAAAGTACAATAGATATGCTAATGTAGTATCATTTGTTTCTTGGGCTTTTGTGTAAAATGAAAAGCCTGTTGTATAAATTCCATTGTTATCTGTGATTTGCGCAGGAATTGAATGAACTAAAAGATAATGAACAGCAAATGAAGCCTAAGGTGTGCCCTTCTGGAGGATTTATATTCATCAGTATTTCCAATTAACCATTATTACATAAAATATCCTTTTGTTAATATTTATGATCTTTTCCTGATACATTGTTCCATTTTGTACTTTATCATCATACAATGTCAACTTTCATGGAGAAAGCATTGTATATCGATAATAAACCTTTATAATGAGTTGCCCTTTTCTGATGTAATCTCATTACAAATATTTTTAGTAAACTAGTTTGGTTGACCATGTTTGCAGAAATAAAGATATACTATGCCCATTTGCTCGAAGCAATTTTTATTGTGCTACTCACGTGTGAATTTCAAATTTCTGGGCTTTATCTTTTCCTCTTTTCATGGGAACATGGTAGTAGTAAAGTTCTTTCACTCTATTGCATAAACTGAAAGGTAACAGTAGATAATTTTTTAGTAGGGGCCGTTACTGGAGACAGCATTGGAGTGGTCATCTGGTTCTCAAATAGCCATTAGTTCAGACTAACAGACTAGTGTGTGCACACTCACATACACAAATGTCATTTCAGTAGGATACTTGTCCATTAGTTTGGTGTAAGATTTATCATCTTTAAGATTCATTTAGACACGAATGATACAATGCTGTAATTGTTGGAAGCCTTGAGAGCATTACTAACATCTGTAATGATTATGAGCTGGTGGATTCATTTTTCTGTATACAAGCAGTGGGGCAGAAATGATTGGACTCTGTGTGAATTTTATGTTTATCATCTGTATGTTGGCAAATTGTTCTGACAGATACAAGTTTTGGTTTCCACTTATGCAGAGAACAAAAGTAATCTCTGATCTGCTGATATCTGTTTCAAAAGCAGAAAGGCAGGAAGCAAGGTTGAAAGTACGACAGGACTCTTTGAGGCTTGGAAATGTGGGTGTAATCAGGTAATGCATACGTTTCTTTTTGCTTCTATATTTAGTGCTTCAAAAGGGTTTTAGTGATTGGGGGATTTCCTTATCTCTGGGTTAAAAAATTTCATTGGATCCTCTCATCCTAGTCATTCCATTTTTCTTTAAAAATATTATACAAATCATTTTCTCTGTTCATTGCAGAGCTGGAACTGTCATATCTGAGACATGGGAAGATGGGCAGGCCTTGAAAGATCTCAATGCTCATCTTGTATGTTCTTATAAGAAATTTCTATTTTAAACTTTGTTTTGTCATGCCAGCTTATTATTTTTGTGTCTAGTCACAGTGAATATTTCTACTTTGAAAGGGTTCGTTGAATAAACCAGAACCAGGACTCGTTAGAATTTTCCCCAGCAACTTACTCTAGGATTCCGGACTGCATATTGAGCTCTACAATATATTAGGTTCTTAGCACACTATTAATTACAGAATCTTTTTCCTATTGAAAAAAATTTGAAAGCCTTGTTTAGATGTCAGTTTCATCTCACATTTTGTGCGCATCTTGGGCTTTCAGATATCAGTTATGTACCTGGTGTAGCATTTCTGTACATGTACTATGTTCCCTGTATTGGAAGTTTCTCTAAAACTCATTATCCAGAGACTTCAGTTTCTTTCTCTCAGTAACTATATTATATAATGCAATTCACAATTTTCCACCCAAATCGTTGAAGGTGGTAAGCATTTTAAAAAGGCATTGTAGTCTCAAACAATGTAATCATAGTCTCCCAGGTTTTTCTTATACTGTTTTTGAGTGTATCTATAGAGCTTCCATGCCAAAAAGAGAGGACCACACTTTCTTTTATCGCTACAAATACTGTCTTTTAATTGATTAATGATCTTTGCACTTGTTTCAAGATCTGTTTTAAGATAAACACATGGCATTTATTAACGTGGGTATTTTAATTTTCTAGAGACAATTATTAGAAACTAAGGAGGCTGTTGAGCGGCAGCGGAAGTCATTGAAGAAAAGGCAAAGTGGTAAAGTTATTATGCATTGACTGTTCTTATTACATTTCCCTTTTCAGTTACTTTTGGTTTATACAATGATCCATGAATTTTATTATTTTGTGTCTGGTGGAGTTACTCTGTGTGTGTGTGTGTGTTGTTTTCTGTTTGTCTTGTTTTGCATAGGGCAATTGTTTTGTCCTGGTATGAAAAATATATCTATCAAAGTTTAATATCTTTATATATATATATATATATATATATATATAGGGACATTCTCCAATAGTATTTAAGTTAAAGATTGGTCACATACTAATAATCTCGGCCGTTGGATTGCATCTAAGTGACTACCAACACATGTAATGAATGCAATCCAATGGCCAAAATTAGAAGTATGTATCTAATCCTTAACATAAAATACTTATTGTCTTATTGGAGATATGGTAAATTACTCAAATGGTCCTCAAACTTATACCCGATTTACATTTTGGTCCCGCAATTAAATTATTCGTTCAAATGGTCCATCAACTCTATATTAATCGCTCCATTGATCCTACCGTTAAATTATGTTAATGTTGCCGTCAAATGTAAGGGCAAAACCGTCCATAACCGTCCTATGTTCCCCAAATAGGTGATAAAGTGGTGATACATAGGCGATACAGTTGTGATACAGTGATGATAAAGGGGTGATACATAGGTCAAAAGTCTTATTTACCCCCACAAATGTAGCATGTGCTGCTCACATGACTAAATTTAACAGAAAATGTAACGGTAGGACCAAAGCGCCGATTAATTAAGAGTTGGTGGACCATTTGAACAAATAATTTAGTTTAGGGACCAAAATGTAAATCGGGTATAAATTTGAGGACCATTTGAGTAATTTACCCTATATATATAAAACACACAAAAGAAAAAAAAGACTTGTCATCCTATTTTTCCTTTAAAATATGAATCTCAAACTTGCATCAATTTGTAGTCTTTGTGAAGTGTAGTCATTTTCCACTTTTTAAATTGTGACTTTTGTTTCCTAAAGACAAGGGAGATGGAGTTGATGCTGAAACTGGAGTACAAGAAGAATTTCTAGTCCAGGATGAGATCTATAAATCCCGTCTAGCCAGCATCAAACGAGTAAGTTTTCTAGTTTGTCTAATTTAGTTTTTTCCATCTTTTTATTTTTATTGGGAAGTCCTTGTTTTCTCATTTGTTTGTCTCTCAACTTATGGACTTCTATAGGAGGAGGAAGTTCTCCTGCGTGAAAGAGACCGCTACGAACTGGAGAAAGGAAGGCTTATACGTGAAATGAAACGCATACGAGATGAGGATGGTTCCCGTTTTAACAATTTTCAGATTCTCAACCACAGATTTGCGCTCTTAAATCTTCTCGGCAAAGGAGGATTCAGTGAAGTTTACAAGGTCGGAACTTTGTGAAATGTCGTTTAATAATTATAAACATTTCAACCAATTTTAAGTAAAGGTCTAGACAATTCATTTGCCAATGTTGGCAATTGTAAAGAAATACCTTTTTGCAGTGATTTGAAGTAAGAACTTTCCAGCAGGCATTTGACTTGGTAGAGCATAGGTACGTTGCATGTAAACTTCATGGTTTAAATGCTCAGTGGAGTGAAGAGAAGAAGCAGAGTTACATACGGCATGCAATCCGGGAGTACAATATTCACAAGACCTTGGTGCATCATCACATTGTCCGGCTTTGGGACATTTTTGAGATTGATCAGAATACATTCTGCACTGTATTAGAGTATTGCAGTGGTAAACTTTACTCTCACCATTCTGTCCTTTGAATGGTATTAGTTACTTTATTCTAAGAGGGAGATATTAAAAATTAGCAATAGAATAGAATTCTCGTCTCATTCTTTCTTCATTTTCTTTTTGGTTTTATTGATATTTCCTTTTCTACCCTCAGGGAAAGATCTTGATGCTGTCCTTAAAGCAACACCTGTGTTGCCTGAGAGGGAAGCTAGGATCATCATCTTTCAGATATTTCAAGGTCTTATATACTTGAACAAAAGAACGCAGAAGATTATACATTATGATTTGAAGCCTGGAAATGTTCTATTCGATGAACTTGGGGTTGCAAAAGTGACTGATTTTGGTCTTAGCAAGATAGTGGAGAATGATGTTGGATCCCAGGGTATGGAACTTACATCCCAGGGTGCTGGAACTTATTGGTAAGTGATGCAAATAAGCTTATGCACATGTGCAGGATTACATTTTCTTTTAGAGGAAAAAAGTTCAGCTTCCCTTAGGCATTTGAGACGTCCTTACGTTTGAACTTATATTTATGTGATTCTGTTGATTTTAAATCATTGATGTGCATCCTGCTTATTTTAATCGTGCCATTTAATATATAAAGTTCATGTGAAAACTACTTTTACCTCTACAATCTTTGAAGTTTTTGTGCGTGATAGCTGTCATGCTGGTTTAGTTGGGAAGAACGATTGGAAAGCATAATTCAGTTGACATTTAAGTTTTGTTCTGTATTCCAGTGGTTTTCCTGTGTCTTCTTCTCCTTGACATTTGACTACATTTGGTTTGAATAGCAGCATATTTGATAATTCCTTTGTTATTTGCAGGTATTTACCTCCTGAATGCTTCGAGCTCAGCAAGACCCCTCTTATATCATCAAAGGTCGGTGACTCTTGTAAATGTGTATCTCCTTGTGATAGCAGGGCAGCATATATATGCAGCAAATAGGCCAAATGCATTTCTACTGCATTTCTGTTGATAGATAACTTTTCTTTTTTGGCTCACTATTGCTCTAGAGCACGTAAGTGGAGTCTTTTACTAGACTTTTGATATGATTGCTGTCCCTAGAGTCCTCTTACTTGAAAAGAAAGCTTATTAGAAAACCAAACTGTTTCACTTTCACCTTTATTCTTCTCAACTTGGGTACCAACATTTTTTGACATGGTCACTCTTGGAAAGCAGGTTGATGTTTGGTCAGCAGGTATTCTAGTATACCAAATGCTATTTGGCAGACGCCCTTTTGGGCATGATCAAACCCAGGAACGAATACTACGGGAGGACACAATTATTAAAGCACGAAAAGTTGAATTTCCTTCTAGACCTGCCATCTCAAATGAGGCAAAGGTGAGTTATACATATAGTTCATGCAGCATGTTTAATTTTTCTTGCTTGGAAATAGTTGGTTCTTTGGAAAGAATGTATGATAGCATTTGAACTCAAGCTCGTTAGGTGCAATAGAAGTGCTAGTGTCATTTAGTTGCCATTAAACAAGATACTATAATAGTGTTCACAGCTTTCCCTATTCATTGATGGACATTTTAGGAGAATTCTGAGCAGCTTGTGATACCATTTCGCATATTTCTGTTCGCAGGATTTTATTCGACGCTGTCTAACATATAATCAAACAGAGAGGCCAGATGTTTTAGCAATTGCTCAAGATCCATTTCTCACATACTCTAAGAAGTAAATAGGAGGACCCAAGGGCTAGCTCCCACAAAATTTTGCTTGTTTTCCTGCAATACCCACAATGGATTTTGTACAGCTTGTAAAGGTTTGTTACTCATTGTAGCTGTGGTGTACTCCCCTCTTCGGGTCTTCAGGTCTTGTATTTTGACCTCATGCTTGGGTAGGGTGCAGGAAAAAAGTGTGTAATTTTGGCTGTTTGCCTATTAACTTTTTTTTTCTTTTTTTGGTTCTTTCAGCATGGTTATGTGTCTGATTTATCCTTTTTCCATCATGTATTGGCACTATACTTTTTGAAAAAAAAAATAGCGAAAAGAATAGAGTTTACATGGAAAGGACTTTGAAGCTTCGTTAACTCTTCTACAGAGATTCTGGGGAGAAATATTTTGTTTTCCCCAAGAATCAGTTGCTCCTTGATCCCAAAACGATTTATGGATAAATTGAATCCCATTGTTATGAAGCATCTATGTTCAATAAGGAACAGTGTGGATTTCTTTGGCAAGCTTAAATCAAAGTGAAGCTGATATGTTTTTTTTTTTTGTTTTTTTATTTTAAAGGCAGTCAGTTTGAGGGTCTGTTTGCCCATCAAGTCTGCCCTGTTTGTGGTTAAGGTTTCTTATCGAAATAAGAGAAGAGAGGGTACAAAGTTGCCAGAATAAATGAAAATCAAGAGAAGATTTTTACCAACGTGCATTTTTCATTATGCTTTATTTATTTATTAATTATAATTTTTTTGGGTCAGATCCATTATGATATGCTTGTTTGTTTGCGTGGGTTTGCTTTTTACCCTAAGTGTTATTATGTCTTGGTCATGTAGATTTACATGTGGTTGAATAGTATATATACACAGAGAGAGAGAGAGAGAGAGAGAGAGAGAGAGCCACATAAATATTATCCCCATAATATCAAATATTAGACAAAGAGACCATAATGGCATTATCCTTGTCTTCCACAACTGCAATTACATGCTCCAAGCTCCATGACAATTCAAGCCTTCAATTCAACCCCTCAAACACCTACAAACGAAGTTCAAATGCAGTGAACGTCAAATGTGCATCGACAGAGCCACCGGCAGCAGGGGCTGGATCGGCGGGGAGGAAATCCAAGCTTGAGATAGGCTCTCCTATCATCGTAGTTGAGGCTCCAAGAATGATAAAAACCGCAGCATCGGTTCCATGCCTCAGGGTCAACTCCGGCTTGGTCAAACCCGGTGATGTTGGAAGGTACACTTTCCCAATCCCTTGTTTTAATAATTTGCATTAATATTGTTAAGTACGACTAATTGTGTGTGTGTTTTGTGTGACTTGGTTTGTTTGGTGGTGCAGAATTGTGTCAAGAAAGCCTAAGGATGTGTGGGCAGTACGGCTTTCAATTGGCACTTATCTCATTGATGGCAAATACTTCAAGCCCTTAGAGTTAGAGCTTGACTCATAGATGTTGTATTTTTACCTACTCATTTCATAGTGCCACAAATCTCTGTTTTAATTCCTTTTCCATAATGTTAAAAGGAAAACCATCTGAGACTCTTCCTAGTACGCCAAAAAAGAAGAGGGAATATTTACTATTCTTCTATCTCCTAAATGTTCTTCGCTATCTCGTGCCTTTACCAGGAATATTTGATAACTTTGCAAGAGAGAGTGTATACCAGTCTTATTTAATACACGTTGTTTGCCCTTTTATTCAAGTCCGAAAGTGTCATGCAACCCAAATGACCGGGTTGGTTAGAAAAGCCCAAATAGTTTACGAGTATATACAATCATCGACTGGAAATCAAATAGTGAAAGCAAAAAGTTTGTTTCAGACACTTGAGGCCAAGTTGATCTAGTGTGAAATTTGTTTGAGAGATAGATTGTGGGTGTCGTTTTTTGCTTCAATTTTCTAGTAATATGGTCCCTTTTACAAGCCAACTAAAGGCAAGAGAAGTATTACACGTAGCAGCCTTCCATCCAATTATTGCTGAAATTAAGAGTATATACAATCATGCTCACTATTCTTTAGTTAAAATTTAGCTAAAAAAACACAAAAGTTATTTTAGGAGCTCCCTATAAAATTTGAACTCCAATCATACTCCCTAGTTTAGGGATTCATAAATACTATAGTTATTTGAATTCAATATAATTGGTCCATCTGTATAAAAAATAATACATAAAAATAGTTAGTATTAATTAAAAGTTTAAACTATGCATAAAACAAAACAACATTAAATTATAGGGAGCCACTAGGAGTCCTCTCTCTCTTCTTAGATTTAGTATCTCCTAGAGGTCTCTCTATTTTAGAAGGTGAATATGGAGCATGGTTGGAGTTGTATTTTTCCAATTCCTCCTTAAAATTTGTCCAAATAGGTGGTTTAATGAGCCCATTATGGATGCTCTAAGCAACCACAAGTTAGCTTTGAAATGATGAAAACAAGCCAAATACGAGTAGGTGAAGCGGGATTGGATTTAGCTTTGGACAGAAGTTATGAATAGCATTTAATGCTTTCACCGAATCTACCTTCACAAGTTAACCCACGTGAGAGATAGAGGCAAAGACTTCATTCGCATCTAACCCATGCCCACGTGGCCATCTTTGGGCTACTTCATTGGGTATTTAATTAATATGCAGCCCAAGTCTTCTTTTTGGACCATAAGGCTAAGGCCCGATTCTTTCTATTTCTCTTTAAAGCCATTAAGTTGGCCCAAGTTAATTTTGGCCCAAACATTTGGCCCTTAATTTCAAAAAGTTTCAAACAAAAGGTAGTTAACACAAAATTTAAATACCACGTTGTCTTTTCTCGTGCCCCACAACTAGCCACATTGCTTGCCGTCACTCTGAGGCCTGAAATCATGTGACAAAAATACCAAACCAAAGCCCTAAATTTTGCCTCAAAACCTTTCCATTGCAAATCCGCTCTTTCGAAAACTTTATTTTCAAACGAATTCAAATTAGACTCAATGGGACCGAAAAGAGCTTTTAAGTAGGCGACCATGCATCCTTTTTCAACTGCTAAGGAATTGGAGAAGGCGCCAATTCTTACTCCTAAGTTCCTTTCTGGTGAAGAAGCTGACAAACACCAAAGATTGATGCTTGAGAATTTAGAAAGGTACATCATTTCTCAAGACCCGATTACTCTCTTACATAAAAATATGGTGCTTGTTAAGCTCATAATTTCATACATATACATGCCCAAATTTACTTACTTCTTTTGCTTAGTTTCCTAGATTTCTATGTTATTTGCCTCTCTTTGTGTGTTTTGTAGGCAAAAGGAGCAAGAGAGCATAATTCATGCAATTCAAGCATGTTAAGGCCTAATTTGGATGAATTGATGAAGAGCTTAAAGACAAATTCATTATGGCTACAGCCCTCTGCCAGTCCAGTTCCGTAGGTCATATTGCAAGATTTGTTTCAGCAACCTACACAGCTCGGATGAGGCTGCATTCTTCATGAAAGTTGCTCCAATTGGTGTGTACTATAACATATCCAAAATTCAGCCCCATTGGATAAAT